ATAGAATCAACAGTTCAAGCTGAAATCGTCCTAAAAGGTTCCTATTCTGATTCACCATTTTTCAGAATCGAAAACCACCAATTCAGAATCAGAACCGAATCATGGTCTTCCCTACTTTCACCTATTGAATTGATCTTGTAGATGATTTGAATGTCTATGATTGGTGCTCTTATTGTGAGCAATTGTTGTTGGGTAATAAAGTGGAAAAATTCCAAAATAATAATCCTACAGAAAGATTATTATTATATGGGAAAACAGAAAAAAAAACTGGAAAGGAAAAGGTGGAAAAACTGGGTAAAGGTTAGCACGAGTTTGAACACAATGTTCTTTTCCTTAAAACCTTATTTGCTACCTCCCACAAGTGTTAGGAGCGTTGTAGCCTATGTTTCCTAGGATAAAACGTGCTACGATTCTTTGTTTAAGCACCCAAACAAAGAACCCGGCAAACAAAACAAGGTATGAACATTGTTTGGCTAAAGAAGAGAGTAAAAGCAGAAGTTTTGAAGCTAAAGCGTACTGGAATTCCTTTGTTTCTGTAGTGTGTGAAAAGCTTCTGCCCTACCTCTCTTTATATAGGGTTGTTGGAGGGATAGCATTCAACATGGCTATTAAATTGGTATTAAAATCAATTGTGTAACACCTGTAATAGCCACCCACTAACTAGGATTAAACTCAGATTTAAAACAGTATTAATTCCGTAACAGATGAGTTTAATCTTCACAACAAACAACTTTCGCGTTTCAGACTTGTAATACCCACTATCTTGGAAATAAAAAAATATACCTATGTTATTAAAATAGGTCAACAAGTCAAAGGTTATTAAAATTGATATTGGATGAATTTACTAAATTACCCCTCTTTACCCTTAAAGATTAAGGAACCACTTTGGTCTTGGATAAACATTTCATTTGAAAGAAGATAAGGGGAGCTAACTAGAGAGAGATAGGGGAAGGAAAAATCTTGGAGCTTTGATCTCCATCTTCTTCAAGCTTAGATCTCAAAGCTATTGGAGTATTCTAGGTAAGTTTGACCTCTATATTTCACTCTTTGAGTTGGGTTTATCACTTGAGCCCTAAGATTAATGTTTGAAAATATTAGGGATTTTGACAAGGAGTATTTGGGCGAACTTAATAGCTAAGATTTGGATGTTTTTAGGTAAGTGATTAACTTTTCTCTCCTTATTTTGGAAAACCCCTAAATATTATGAAATAATCTCCACTACTTTGAATCCCCATTTTAAGCTTAGTATGAGTTAAAAATATTTTGGACTATGATTATGTTTTGGGTCTGAAATGCTAAGCTGAATTCTGGATTGAAATTGTATTTGGGTTCGTTGGAACTGTGATTTCGGAATGTATTTTAAGCTAAATTAATTCTGACTGATATAGTCACCATCTGTAGAGACGGTAGAGTGGTTTTGTGGCTGTTGTGCAGGTAGTAGGGCATGGGTTCAACTTCAACAGCCAGCATATTGTGTGTGTTTGTTTTATATCATATGCCTTATAAAAATGGTTTGTTTGTTTAAAGTGAGACTTGAATTCTTAACCTCTTGTTTATTAACTTTAAGTTCTTTCCACCTAAGCCATTTCAATCCTTTTGAAATTACTTTGGTTTAATAAACCATTCTATGATGTTTAAAGAGTTATGTACTAAGAAAATTATTATTTTGAGAATGGTTTATACCTTGCATATTTCTTAGTTTGATAAACTTATTACCTATTTTGGAAATATGAAATTTGTTATGTGATTTTAAGCAAATGATTTTTGCTACATCGGGCTATTTGATTATAAGAACTATTTTGATTATTTGATCAAACTCATGAGGCAACCTACATTTTGTTGTTTGTTTTGTTTGGCCTGGAACGTTCCTAATTGCTCATTCCGAATCGTCGAGCTTGACTCATTCCGAATCGTCGAGTCTTTCGAATTATTTGTTGGAACGTTCCATCCGGCTCATTCTGAATCGTCGAGCCTGACTCATTCCGAATCGTCGAGTCTTTTTGGACCAATATACCGATAAGGGCATGTGCCACATAATATAATGGTGGTTGTAGGTTGCCAATGAGTTATATGTAAAGGAATGATTGGTGCTTTTGAAAGTATTGTATTATGAAATAATATTGATGCCCATGTAGCTAAAGTTTTTCGTTTTGGGAATTTGTGTATAGTATGATGGAAGTATGTTATGATTTTGATATAATTTAAGGATTGAGTTTTGCATCTAGTTATTACTCTAAAGCTTTTTGTATTATATTGGGGCTACTTGATCCGGGGTTGAGAGGAGTATCACTTACTGGGCATTAGCTCATTATTTGTATTTTTCTCATGTTTCAGAGTAGTTAAGGACATGTGAATAGCACGAGCACAAGTGGTTGGGTCTCGAAGGTGACTTTTGAAACTTGGAGACTTAGTCCTAGTTTTGGAGCTTATCATGGATTTTTGTTTATTTAGACTTTCCCTTTGACCCTTTGTATTTTTGGTAGACCATTGTGCTTGGTTTTGGTGCTTGTGATGCATTTTGGACATACTACTCTTAATTATAAATATCTAATAGTGGATTTGATGAGTTTTTGGGAAGAACAAGTCGATTATATTTTGTAATTTTGGGTTGTGGAATTAATGTATATTCAAGTGTTATTATGAAGATTCTGAGAGGTATGTATGGTTAGGCTTCCTATTGTTACAGGTCTTCACGTAACGATACGGCCGTGTCATGTCCTAAAAGTGGGGCGTGACAGAGTGGTATCAGAGCCTAGGTTTAAATCCTTAGTTGGTCAAGAAGTTAAGTTTGAATTTTTGTAAGATTAGGCTTTAACCTAGCGAATGATAAGTTTAGGCTTTGGGCAAATTTTGGATGTGGTTTCCTAAACATTTTCGCTAATGTGGTCATACTTTCTCTGTTTTGAATTTAAGAAGTATTGCTTTACAAGGATCAGAGGGGATGTTCCTACATGTGGTTGAACTCATCGAGTTAGGCTGTTGTTAAATGTGTCGCCTATTCGGAATGTGGTTGTAGATGTTTTTGTGTTGTGTGATTCAAGTTCTTCGCATTATTTTATTTATGAGAAGTTGCAAAGGATTTAAATTTGCAAGCTAAGAAGTTGAGTGATCATTTGTATGTTAATAATCGTATGGGGAAGATGGTGGTGACAGATACTTGGTTTCAAGATTGTCATCTACAAATTAATGGGAGTGATGTGTCAATTGATTTAATTCAGCTCGATATGCAGGATTTAGATGTGATATTAGGAATGGATTGGCTATCCAGAAACTATGCCACATTGATTGCGCTCATTGGAATGTGGTGTTTCAAATTCCTGGACAATCTATCTTTACTAGTGGGATACTTTCCTAGGAGTGGAGTGTTGGTTTCGAAAGTGCCATTGAAAGTAATTTCTGCATTGAAAGCTAAGAAAGAATTGGCAAAAGGGTGTAGCGGTTTCTTGACTTATGTAATGGATACCCACCAGAAAGAAGTTAAGTTAGATGATATCCTAGTTGTTAAGGAATTTACATACGTTTTCCTAGAGCATTTACATAGGTTACCTCTAGATAGAGAAATTGAGTTTGAAATAGAGGTTGTTCCAGAACTATTCCAATCTCAAAGGCCCCTTACCGCATGGCACCATCTGAGCTACGTGAGTTAAAGGTGCTAAATACCTTTAAAAAAATTGATTTGAGATTAGGGTACCATCAATTGAAGGTTAAAGCTATTGATGTACCCAAGACTACTTTTAGGACCTGGTATGGCCATTATGAATTTTTGGTGATGCCGTTCGGACTAACTAATGCTCTTACTTTCTTTATGGATTTAATGAATAGGGTCCTCAAGTCGTTTCTGGACAAATTTGTTGTGGTATTTATTGATGACATTTTGCAATATTCAAAGAGTGAGGAAGAACATGCTCAACATCTAAGGACCATCTTGCACACCTTGAAGGGAAATGAATTGTATGCCAAGCTAAGTAAATGTGAATTTTGGCGTAAAGAGGTATCTTTTCTTGGTCATGTAATTTCTAGAGACGGGATTTCTGTAGACACAACTAAGGTTGAAGCAATAGCACAATGGCCGAGACCCACTAATGTTACAGAATTGAAGAGTTTTCTGGGTTTAGCAAGTTATTACAAGAGATTTGTGAAAGACTTCTCATTAATAACTGTGTCATTGATTCGGTTAACTCGGAAGGGTATAAAGTTTAATTGGGATGAGGAGTGTGAGAAGAACTTTCAAGAATTAAAGGAATTATTGGTTAGTGCACCTATCTTAGCCCTATTATCTGGGGAAGAAAGATTTGTTATTTATAGTGATGCTTCAAGAAGCGGATTAGGATATGTGTTGATGCAAAATGATAAGGTGGTAGCCTATGCCTCTTGACAATTGAAGTCTCATGAAGTTAACAACCCCACTCATGACTTAGAACTAGCAGCTATGGTTTTTGCTTTAAAATTTTGGAGGCACTACCTGTATGGAGAATCTTGTCAAATATTTTCAGACCATAAGAGTTTGGAGTGCCTCTTTACCCAAAAGGAAATGAAGATGAGACAACGATGATGGTTGGAGATAATAAAAGAATATAACCTCACTATTAATTATCATCCATCTAAAGCTAACATGGTAGCTGGTGCTTTAAGTCGTAAGTTTTCCACGGTTAATGTGATAGTGGTAACTACTCAAACCCAATTGTTGAAAGATTTTCAAGATTTAAAAGTTGAGGTTATTTTGCAAAATAAGCAAGGAAGGATATTAGAAACTATGATTACAAAACCGGTATTATTAGATCGCATTAAAGTTGCCTAAGTTGATTAAGATTCGTGGGAAAAATACAATTTGGGTTACTGTGGATCGATTCACTAAGCTTGCACATTTTTATACCCATTAAGAAGACCTAGCTAAGTTGTATGTGAAAGAAGTTGTAAGGTTTCATGGTGTACCTGTTAGTATAGTATCTGACTAAAACTCTTGATTTGTGTCAAAATTTTGGAGAAGCTTATAATGAGCCATGGGGACTGAATTAAAATTAAGCACTGCATTTCATCCACAAACAGATGGGCAAACCGAGAGGACTATTCTTACCTTGGAGGATATGCTTCGAGCTTGTGGCTTGGATTTCAAGGGTAGTTGGAGTAAATACTTAACTTAAATTGAGTTTGCATATAACAATAGCTACCAATTGAGTATAGGAATGTCACCTTTTGAAGCTTAATTTGGAAAGAAATGTAGATCTCCTTTATATTACGATGAAGTTGGAGAAAGAAAGATCTTAGAGCCAAAACCTGTACAACTCACATTTGAGAAGATTCAATTAATTAGGAAAAAAATTAAAGCTTCCCAAGACAGACAAAAGAGCTGGGCTAACTTGAAAAGAAGAAAATTGAAATTCAAAGTTGGAGATTTTGTGTATTTAAAAGTTTCACCATCTCGAGGAGTAATGAGGTTTGGAGAAAAAGGAAAACTATGTGCACATTACAGTGGACCATTTGAGATTTTGAGTAGAGTTGGTAGTTTGGCTTATGAGCTAGCCCTACCACCACAACTAGCTGGAGTACACTATGTATTCCATGTATCAATGCTACGAAGATACATTGCAGATCCGGGTCATGTTGTGGAGTATCAACCTTTGCAAGTTAGGGATGACTTAACTTATGAAGAAGTACATCTTCGCATCATTGACCAAAAGGAACAAGTATTGAGGTCCCGAGTAATCCCATTTGTTAAAGTGCAATGTTCACATCATACTCCAAGAGAAGCAACATGGGAAAAGGAAGATGATATGAAGGATAGCTATCCTAAACTCTTCAAGTTTGATGTTATGTAAGTTTCGAGGACGAAACTTATTTTAAGGTGGGGAGATTGTAATACCCACTATCTTGGAAATAAAAAAATATACCTATGTTATTAAAATAGGTCAACAAGTCAAAGGTTATTAAAATTGATATTGGATGAATTTACTAAATTACCCCTCTTTACCCTTAAAGATTAAGGAACCACTTTGGTCTTGGATAAACATTTCATTTGAAAGAAGATAAGGGGAGCTAACTAGAGAGAGATAGGGGAAGGAAAAATCTTGGAGCTTTGATCTCCATCTTCTTCAAGCTTAGATCTCAAAGCTATTGGAGTATTCTAGGTAAGTTTGACCTCTATATTTCACTCTTTGAGTTGGGTTTATCACTTGAGCCCTAAGATTAATGTTTGAAAATATTAGGGATTTTGACAAGGAGTATTTGGGCGAACTTAATAGCTAAGATTTGGATGTTTTTAGGTAAGTGATTAACTTTTCTCTCCTTATTTTGGAAAACCCCTAAATATTATGAAATAATCTCCACTACTTTGAATCCCCATTTTAAGCTTAGTATGAGTTAAAAATATTTTGGACTATGATTATGTTTTGGGTCTGAAATGCTAAGCTGAATTCTGGATTGAAATTGTATTTGGGTTCGTTGGAACTGTGATTTCGGAATGTATTTTAAGCTAAATTAATTCTGACTGATATAGTCACCATCTGTAGAGACGGTAGAGTGGTTTTGTGGCTGTTGTGCAGGTAGTAGGGCATGGGTTCAACTTCAACAGCCAGCATATTGTGTGTGTTTGTTTTATATCATATGCCTTATAAAAATGGTTTGTTTGTTTAAAGTGAGACTTGAATTCTTAACCTCTTGTTTATTAACTTTAAGTTCTTTCCACCTAAGCCATTTCAATCCTTTTGAAATTACTTTGGTTTAATAAACCATTCTATGATGTTTAAAGAGTTATGTACTAAGAAAATTATTATTTTGAGAATGGTTTATACCTTGCATATTTCTTAGTTTGATAAACTTATTACCTATTTTGGAAATATGAAATTTGTTATGTGATTTTAAGCAAATGATTTTTGCTACATCGGGCTATTTGATTATAAGAACTATTTTGATTATTTGATCAAACTCATGAGGCAACCTACATTTTGTTGTTTGTTTTGTTTGGCCTGGAACGTTCCTAATTGCTCATTCCGAATCGTCGAGCTTGACTCATTCCGAATCGTCGAGTCTTTCGAATTATTTGTTGGAACGTTCCATCCGGCTCATTCTGAATCGTCGAGCCTGACTCATTCCGAATCGTCGAGTCTTTTTGGACCAATATACCGATAAGGGCATGTGCCACATAATATAATGGTGGTTGTAGGTTGCCAATGAGTTATATGTAAATGAATGATTGGTGCTTTTGAAAGTATTGTATTATGAAATAATATTGATGCCCATGTAGCTAAAGTTTTTCGTTTTGGGAATTTGTGTATAGTATGATGGAAGTATGTTATGATTTTGATATAATTTAAGGATTGAGTTTTGCATCTAGTTATTACTCTAAAGCTTTTTGTATTATATTGGGGCTACTTGATCCGGGGTTGAGAGGAGTATCACTTACTGGGCATTAGCTCATTATTTGTATTTTTCTCACGTTTCAGAGTAGTTAAGGACATGTGAATAGCACGAGCACAAGTGGTGGGGTCTCGAAGGTGACTTTTGAAACTTGGAGACTTAGTCCTAGTTTTGGAGCTTATCATGGATTTTTGTTTATTTAGACTTTCCCTTTGACCCTTTGTATTTTTGGTAGACCATTGTGCTTGGTTTTGGTGCTTGTGATGCATTTTGGACATACTACTCTTAATTATAAATATCTAATAGTGGATTTGATGAGTTTTTGGGAAGAACAAGTCGATTATATTTTGTAATTTTGGGTTGTGGAATTATTGTATATTCAAGTGTTATTATGAAGATTCTGAGAGGTATGTATGGTTAGGCTTCGTATTGTTACAGGTCTTCACGTAACGATACGGCCGTGTCATGTCCTAAAAGTGGGGCGTGACAAGACTGTTGGGGTGCAGCAACACGAGAGTGCATCTCTCGTGCTGTGGTGCAACACGAACCAAGTGACTATATCGGTTGGACAATGATACCGAAGTTTGGCCAGCCAATTTCCGGCTGTGGTGCAACACGAACCAAGTGACTATATCGGCAGACAATGATACCGAAGTTTCCGGCTGTGGTGCAACACGAACCAAGTGACTATATCGGCGAACAATGATACCGAAGTTTGGCCAGCCAATAAATTTTCGGCTGTGGTGCAACACGAACCAAGTGACTATATCAGTTGGACAATTTCTGATTTTTGGCCAGCCAATTTCTGGACGACATTCGTGCCAAGTGACTATATCGGTTGGACAATGATACCGAAGTTTGGCTAGCCAATCCGGCTGCGGTGCAACACGAACCAAGTGATTATATCGGCGGACAATGATACCGAAGTTTCCGGCTGTGGTGCAACACGAACCAAGTGACTATATCGGCGGACAATGATACCGAAGTTTGGCCAGCCAATTTCCGGCTGTGGTGCAACACGAACCAAGTGACTATATCGGTTGGACAATGATAACGATTCTTGGCCAGCCAATTTCCGGACGACATTCGTGCCCGCAGGTGCTGGTGCACACGAGCTCGGGCTTGAATCAAGTCTTTTCGATCTCGTTTCTAATTGAAGTAGGAAACTACCTCGCAATGTCCGTGTTTGGCAATCAGCAGTTAACTTTTCAATATTAGTATATATTAAATATTTTATGCCCTAATTTTAATTTACTTTCCCTTATGTCCCGTATTTGGTTTCAACCATACCTATACAATTATTTTATTGACAATTATAATCAATCTTGACTATATTATATTGCATTTGTAAACTTAGAATTGCCTATTTAAATACATAAATTTAACATTCAATTATCTATGCACGAACAATTCCAATATAATCTTGCATTGATCTACTTTAAAGTACTTATTTAAAAAAAATAAAAATTAGGCATTATTCCAATCGCGCAATGCGCGTAAAAAACTAGTTACAAAATAAAATGCAAATAATAAAACGAACCCGACACATAAGAATATTTAATTATATACATACAATTTGTATGCAAGTATTGTAATTGTCATATCTAGATTTTATTTTCTTTTGCAACTCAACTACGTACAAAGGCATGCATCTTCATCATTTACAATTATTATACTGTCATTACCATGAACAATGCGAATTTCTTTTTTAGTATATTAAAAGTTTTATTTATTTATTAAACAAAAAGGTTCTCATTTTTAGTGTACTACACGTTCATTTTTAAAAATTTATTTTTAATGTATTATAAATTTATTTTTAATATATTACTTAAAATGAATTTATTATATTAAAAATAAACTATTAATATACAAAAAAAGACCATGTATTAATAGTGTATTTTGTAATGTAGATCATAGTTGATAGTATATTTTGCCCTTCATTTACCCGGTGGCGATAAAGCTGTGGCCCATCGGAAATAGCAATCACAAGTTTCTAATTTTATAGCAAGACAAGCATATTAATATATTATATATCATCTATAATATAGCTGTAGAAATTGTTGGAAAAATAATATTAAAATGACATTTTAAGTGGTTATTTTGTGATATAATTATCAGTGGGGTTCACTTCCGAATTGAGTCGGGTCAAAGTGAATTTGTGTTCTTCGTAGTGAGACGAAGAGATTGATATATTGTACGCTCAAAATGGATAATTGGTGAATGAGATATTGATTCTCAAAGTAGACCCATTGAGTTGGAAAAATGAAGGGAAAAAGATGAGCTTTTGTCCCACATTGGTTTGGGAAGTGGATTTGCACCACTATTTATACAAGAGTCTTTTAAAGACAATTGAATTGTATAATATGGAGGCTCTCTCTTGCTTACAAGGAGGTTGCAAATCAAATCCCAAAATGAGCTTTAAAAGGCTCGATTCAAACATGAACTCATGTACGCGAGCATCAAAAAGAGTGTTTTGCTCAAATACACACTAGTACAGAAACAGTCATTCGCGTCCAAAGTAGCTGGGACGCAGATGTTACAATCAGCGTCCAAAGTAACTTTGGACGCGAAAAACGATTAATCGCGTCCAAAGTTGGTAATCTCATTACAGTGTTGACCACTGACTTTGTGCGTCCAAAGTTGGTCAACTTTGGACGTGCAAAGTCAGTAAATCGCGTCCAAAGTTCTTCGACTTTGGACGCGATTAATCATCTTCTTTTAATAAAATGATTATTCGCGTCCAAAGTTGAAGAACTTTGGACGCGAATTATAATTTTTTTTTTTTATTTTATAATAATTTGTTAATAAATCCAGTTTTTTTCCTGTACAAAAAATATTATGTTCATCCAGAACATGCAGTCACAACCACTACATACCACTTCAAAGCTTTCAACTAATAAAGTTCAATACATCATTACGCCAACACTTTAGCACTAAATTAAACTCCAATACAATCAATTCACAACACTTCAAAGTTTTCAATACATAATTGCCAACACTTTTGCACGTACTAAATTAAACTTCAATACATTAAATTCACAACACTTCAAAGTTTTCAACACATCTAAACTACACTACTTCAACACTTATGTAATAAGCTAAACTAGATAAGTACCAACAATTCATCATTACAATTAACTATTATAATTAAATCATAGTTCAAAAATTTATATACATTCTTGAGTAAAATATTTAGACCAAACCTCACGAACCTCATCAATTTGCGCTTCTGAATAAGGCTTTCTATTAAAGAATAATTCCTACAAAAATTTAAAATAATCAAATAATTAGTTTTAACATTACTAAAGTGTAATTTAAAACTATTTACTTTTAATAAATTTTACATACCATATCTAAATCATCAGAATCCCAACATTGAGGGCATATTTCATACATGAATCTCATCACATAATACCCGCACTCCACACCACCCGGTTGTTGAGGACACTAGAAAATATGTATA